TCCAAGTTGGAGTTGGCCATGGAAGCCTTCATGGGACAAGCATCAAGACCATGTGCCACTCCACAACCAGAGCCAAAGAGAAACTGGGAGCTCATGGTGGAGCAATTTGCCCGGGTGACCGACGAAGGATGCTCCAATTCGGATCTTCCCATCAATGGCCCTATCGACTCAACTTTTCTTCGGGAATCGGAGGAGCTCATTCGACGCACGAAGAGGCGAGCAGAGCTTATTGAGCAAGCATGTGCACAAGTTGCTCACAATCGCCTCCTACCATTGGAAGAAAGAGAGGAGGTCAAAGAGGCAAGCCATGAGACCTTTGGAAGAATGAGCTCCGGCATGGATTTCCAACCCCTCCCTCCTCCCGGTTTGACACTAGATGAGAAAGTGGCACGAGCTTGTGAAAGCTATCGCCTCTCATTATTGGAGGAGAAAGAGGAGGTTGAAGGAGCGATCAATGACAACCGTATGGAGCAAGAGCAACTCACCCCGGAGAGCTCCCGTGGTGGGGATGAACAAGAAGGTTGCATTGACAACTACCATCATATTTCCCTTCCCGAAAGCAACATTTAAGACCAAGACACGAGTGTGGAAGAGCAAGAGAATCCCTACTATGACCTTGTATTGCATTTTGCCCTCAAATTCGTGCTTGGAGACATGAATGGGATGGAGACAGAAGAGGTTGAAGAGGAGGAAGCGAGCATTAAAGAGGAGGAAGATCTCAAGTGTTCCCAAGGGGAGGAAATTGAAGAAGGGAGGAAGGTTGAAGATGAAGTAGAAGGAGCAAGGGAGGTCCAAGATGAAGACGAGGTCGTGGTGGATGAAGCTTCAACAAGTTACAAGTGCGAACAAAGCTTTCCACCAGATCTCGATGCGCTTTTGGAGAAGGACCCGTTTGCGGCTCTTTGCCAAGCCAAGGCCAAACCATCGGCGATCCCTCTTGGTGGATGCGATGGTGGTAAAGCGATGATGCATTACATGGTGTGGGGCAAATAGAAAGAAGGAGAAGGAAAAAAGGAGATGTCTCGTGGGTGGAGCCTCAAAGTCGATCAAGTTCACGAGCCCTCAATCATGGATTCGTCCAATGCTCGTGACTTAAGCCATCACCTCACCGACGAGAACCTCAACTTCAAGTAGGTTCTCGAGTGGACCGAAATTTGAAGAGCTACCGTCCGGCTCACGACGATAAAGAAGCGCTTGGTGGGAGGCAACCCATCTACCATCGGTTTGTTTGCTTTCCGCTCCAATAAGAAGACCATTGAAGAGATTTTGGTGGTGTTTTGGACGTGACCACGCTCTTCCCGATCTCACCCGCCCTTCGCTACCGAGCACAAACATTCACCACTTGACCAGTAACATCATTCTTTCCCCTTCTTTTCGCCATTGAGGGCAATGTCGAGCTTAAGTGTGTGTGTGTGGGGGGTATTCCCTTATGCATGTGTGTGTGTGAATATATGGTGTGATTTTGAATGCTTGGAGCCTAGTTTTATGCCCAAATTTTCAAAATTTGAGGGCTCCAAGCATAACAGCTTCTACATTTGCATGATCATAGTGGTACCTTGTGGTGATTTGTTTTGAATCTTGTGGTTATTAGCATTGTCTATGGATGATTTGCCTGAGATTATGTGCAACCTATGATGATGACTGAGGCATGTATTAGGTTTGTGCATAGGTTCATTTCTCAAGTGTTTGTGAACCGATAGATGTTTTGAATCGGTTACTTGCTTTTCATAGTTGCATATGCATTGAGTTTGGGGAGTTAGAACGAATGATTTAGCACCTAGGTAGCCATGTGAGTCTTGTGCCGTTCGTTTCGTTCTTGTGCGATAGTTCCCCCTTTACATGATGTGTAGCATTCACATTGTTTCTAGTGAGGAAGATGGAGGCATAGGTTTAGTCCACGACCCAAATGTTGACCGTCCCGATCTCATTATCCCTTAGTCAACCCCTTTGAACCGTGTGTCTATGGGTAGTTCTCGTGTTAGGTAGGTCACGCTACTTGAGCTTGATTGATTTAGATAGAATGACCCTACTTTCTTTGTGTCTACACCGTTATCGAGTCACCTTTGTGTTTAGAAGCTCCATTCATACCATTTGAGCTTAAACGAGGTTCCATATGAGTGATTTGTGTATGGTTTTGGTAAGAGGTGAAGTGAGTGTGGAGGTAGTTTTTCAAAGTGAGCATTGTTCCTTAAGTTCAAAAATATGGCATGTTTATAGCTCTCTTTAGCCCCCAAAGAAAAGATGAGAAAAGAAAAGAAAAGAAAAGAAAAAAATGATCAATAAGAGGGCAAAGAAGAAAAGGGAGTGGCCACCAAAAATATAATAAATGTTGAACATGCTCTTAGAAGTGTTGCTTAGTATGTAAGCTTTACGAACACTTACATGTAGTTTGCCTACCACACTCTTGTGCTTGAAATTGAATAGCAAAGGTAGCAAGAAAGATTGTTGCAAATGGTTTGGTGATTGGTTGTGGTTTGGAATCGAGGGAAGTGTGGTTTTTGGCCGATGCTAGTGGCCATTCAGTATAGGAGAGGGTTCTAATTGAAACCTTAGAACCTTTTGTGGTTTTAGGATGGAAATGTGGAACCTTGTCCTATGTTTGCCACCACCCAAAAAGCCTTTTCACAATGTCCTAGACCCTAGCCAGTCATTTGAACCTGTGTTTAAGACCTCCGTACAAGCTACCAACGACACCTATCTTGTGAACTATAATATTTAGATGTTACCGTCATGATAAAGGGATGTTAGGATTGAGCGTGAATATGCACATCTTTTGCATCAAATGGTCCGGACCCCACTGGTCGAGAGTGAGTGATTCATTCATCATGTTTTGTTCATTTCTTCTACCCTAGTGAGGACTTAGGTTGCTCAATCGTTCGTTCCTATGATGTGATCTTCATGCATGAGTAACTGTGATAGGTGAGTCGTCAAGCCATGTTGTGTGTGGGTTCGTGAATAATATGAGAACTCTTCTTTTGCACAATCTTAATACAGTTGAATATCGTTTGTGGTGGTTGCCAAGATTACTTTGTTTTTGTCCATAGGTCGGCGTCAAATAACCATTGTGATTCATTCGTTTTGTGCACTATGACATGCCTCAAATATTTTGTTGAAAAAGAGAAGTTGCAAGCTTACCTTGTTTTGTACTTGGTTTCCTTGGGGACAAGCAAACGTCTAAGTGTGGAGGCGTGATTCGGGCTCAAATGTACACATTTTAACCCTCATTTCTTATTCGTACAGCTTAGTATTTCATCATTCCTCAACATATTTCACACTAGGTGATAGGGCAAAAGCGTAATGCCAATTCCTATCTTGTAGTAAAACCGGAAATCCGTGTATCGTCTCTCAGGGACTGGTACAACCTTATAATTTATCAATTCTGCGGAGCAAACTATCGGTGAAAAAATGGTTTGGTTGATGAGATTATTAACTGAAAGCAAAATAATTAAACTAATTAAGCAAAGTAAACTTGTCGGGAGAAATTCAATGGGAGAAGCTCTGGGAGAAACACCAGGATTCACTACCTATCCTATCCATATTAATTCACATATTCCAATCAATTTAATCCATATCTCTACAACCAGGATATCACTACTGTGCTAGCTATCCCTGTCGGGAATTACTACGTACTAAACAATTAAATCAAATCCTACTGTCGTAGCTCAATGACTTAATTATTTAGCCTGAAGATCGATATCCTATTTAAGACCGCATAGCACCTTATTTAATCTACTGTCGCTTCGATAAGTTACTATGTCACATGAAATATGTTCGGTTATTAGGGTTTCACTGTCGCTAATAACCTAATTAACAATGAATCAATGTATTGGTGGCCAGTCAACACAAAGCATTAATTAATTTCATGCAATAGAGATTGGAAGAACAGAAATACGAATTAATCCATCAAGTCAAGAAATAGCTACATCCTATGGTGTTTCCCCCAGAAATTGGGGTTTAGTTCATGACGAAAATAAAACACACAATCAGGTTTATAATCATCATCGTATTAATTAAAGCTAAAGGAAAAATACTAAGGGGTCGTTTGGAGAATATGAGTTTAAATCTACAGATTATCAACAATCTAAAGATTCTAACTCTTCGGATTGTTGAAAACAGATTTTAAAATGTTTATTGTTTGGTAATTGTGATTGTTAACAATCAAGTAAAATAAAACATTTAATTTTATATTAAATAACATGTTTATCCTTAATAAAAAATTAGAGTGGTTCGTGAAATATAAAAAAACTTTGTTGATAAATATATTTCATGTGATAAATAAATAAAAGGAAGAGAAAAATTAGGAGAAAAAAAATCTCACGAATCAAGATATAGAATCTCTCTGATTATGAGAGATTTGATATCCGCAGATTTTAGAGATTTGAAATCTCTAAAGCTAGAATCCACAATACAAAAACTAACAAAAAAACATAATTTTCTACAAAATCTACGGATTCAATGAATCCATGTCCCGAATCCTGTTCTCCAAACAACCCCTAAGATTATGGAACGTAATCCCGGCACCAATTCCTTCTCGCTCCAATAGCCTGTCTGTTTGCTCCGCTCGACAGCTCTCACTGCGTGGCTCTCTATTTCCGCACTGCCGCTCGCTGCCCTGGCTGCTGCCTTTTCTCCGTTCCCAGCTTCCGTGTCCAAGGAATCATTCCTCCCTGGCCCTTTCTTTTTCCAAAAAGAATCCGCCCTCCAATTGTGTGTGTCCCCGCCGCCAGCTGCTTCTTTTTTTTTTTTATAATATTATTCCATCCCCCAGCTGCCTTCCTTTCCCCAGAGAATCCCAAAAATAATAAACCTCCCCAAAGAATTTCCTCCCCAGATCACAAAAATCTCCGGCCATTAATTCCCTCCATCCAAACCTTCTTAATTCCGCCCGGCTATGGAGAAAGGAAATAGAATGGGCTTTGGCTCAATGCATGCTGCCTCTTCCGGCCCATTTAGGCCCACTGCTCCTCCTAGCCGAGTGAGTATTTCACCAGTGATTCGAGCCCGATTAATTACTTGTGCATCCGCTTCTTTTTTCGTGCTTTCTTCACCTGTAATACATCAAACTCATGGCACTAGGCAGTAATGGTTTTTCAACCAATCCCGGGTTAGCGAGCCCTAAAATAGCACCAATCGGCTTAAACATATCATGGGATAGTCACACAAATTTCAAGAATCCGAAATATTGAAACCGATTATCACAACCCCACACTCAATTGTTGCTTGTCCCTAAGCAACGACTCAAACAACACAAACACATAACCATCCATAACAATGACACACCACAGACTCACCACTAAAAACAAAACAAAATTTTCCTTGTACTCTTGTTGTAATCAGTAGTTTCTTTCTCAACGGATGAGTTGTGCTTAAATGATCATACCCTTTCACCGCACACTCAAGCTCTTTGCAACCATTACCATTGACTGACTCAAATCCACCAAAAACTCAATTAGCAACACTCGATTCATGTCGTCGATAGTGGGTGATTAACAACTTATGGTGTAACAGTTATTAGGATAATCTAACCACATCAGTGAGGTGCATATCTCGTGAGGACAATCTGGCTTACTCACACCAATCATAAGCAATCAACAAAGCATGAGTCTCAAAAACTAATGGGGGAAGCCTTTCGCAAACATGATTTTAACTTTAAGCACATCACTACCTTTTCCGACAAGGAGAGTCTTTCTCTCTTTCTGATTTTGCTTGCCGAGTATTCGTATTTAGTACAAGTGGGATTTGTTTCTTACTACCGGTGACCGAGCAAGAGCAAATTCTGCTTCTTAGCACTCGCATAAGGGCTTCTTTCAACTCCTTTTCCTCGGTCCGTGTGGAGGGTCACTGCACATCTCAAATGGCACTTCACTCAACGGGGGATCGTACTTGATAAGCAACATCGTACAGTCGCGAACCGATGCTCAATTGAACCTTTCCTAATCCCCATGTGCAATGAGTGATTGCCTCACACGATTTTGGCATTTTTACCCACACTTTAATTGTTATGACAACTTTCTTATATTTTACTTGTCGGGTAGGATTTTTCTTTTTATAAAGATACAGTTCACCCCATCATAAAACCTTTTAAAACAGAGAGACTCATTGCGAAGTCAAAAGCTCACAACAGATGCAAGTAAGCACGGTATCCAAACATGTCGAATGGTCAATGTTCTCCACCTAACTACTTCACCAAAAGTCATTAAACTATCCTCCCAAAAGAGAATGTTGCTAAAAGGGTTTGCTAATTTAAAGCACATCAAGTCAGTCAAAACATCAAGCTCATTGTGAAGAACTTTGCAATTCAACGCTAGTGGGGTGATTTTGATGATTTCATTCAAGCACAAACTCATTTCACACGCATCAAGGTCATTTACATCATGTTACCACAAGAGTACAAGGTTTTGTTTTTAATTTTTCTGATTTTTAGGTGTTTTTTAGCCATTAGCTTTGCACAGGCAGACTGCACCAACACAGGCAAACTGCATGCAGTTTGGCTGTGCTCAACCTAATGACAAGTTTTTATTTATTTATTTTTTTTGGATTTTTTTACCACATGCAACAGGGACAAACAACACTAAGACTCACCACCCCACACTCAGGATGGAACATTGTCCCTAATGTTCAACGCCTAATCTAAACATGCACGGTTTGACACAACTAAAAAGAAAAATAAAGAAAAGAAAAGTTACCTTGGGTTGCCTCCCAAAAAGTGCTTGTTTAACGTCCTCGGCCTGACGTTCATGGAGCTTTCAACCAATGGGTATGGAAAGGTATCTAGAATACCCTCCCGAGCAATGATAGAACGCATACCCTCCATCCAACATATGAGTCACCTCTGCAGGGCCAGGTGTGCGAAAATTTGGTATGACCTTCTTAGTTGGCATGTTGGATCCTTTAGTGAGGCGTAGGTGGTATTGCAATGCCTCAAGCAAGTACTCTTCCTATTTCGATGTCAGTGAAGAAGGAATAATAACAGGAAGATTGAAATCCTTACCCAAATATCTATACTTGAGGTGATCTGACAAGGATTTATGTCCTTGCTTTGATTTCAGAATCTGAGCAGATAGGATAGGTGATAGTTCTTCGGATGGTCCACTATCACAGGAGAATGAATTTTTCTATTCTCGAGCTCCACTTTCAAAGTCATCAAATGCATCGTGATTATGATCAACTTGAAAGACATTAAAAATTTCCTCCTCCTTACCTACTCGGAATGTCAACTTGCCTCTCCCAACATCAATGAGTGCATCTCCAGTTGCTAAAAAAGGTCTACCAAGAATGAGAGGCACTCCCCGATCATCTTCCATCTCCAGAATTACAAAATCTGTTGGGAGAATAAACTTCCCCACCTTCACCAATACATTCTCCACCACTCCCTTTGGAATTTTCACTGATCGATCAGCCAATTGGAGAGTGATCCGAGTAGGAATAAGAACATCTCCCAATCCCAATTTCTTGTAGACTGAGTATGGCATCAAATTAATTCCTGCTCCAACATCACAAAGTGATTTATCGAACTCTGTACCTCCAATGACACATGGAATGGTGAAGCTGCCCGGATCATCCCTCTTTTCTGGTAATTTATTCTGAATCAAAGCACTACATTCAGAAGTAAGGGTTACCTTCTCTAGATCAGCCCACTTGCGCTTCTTTGTCAGCAACTCCCTTAAGTATTTAGCATATGTAGGCATCTATTCAAGTGCCTCTGCCAGTGGTATGTTGATCTGAAGTTGCTTGAAGAGATTCACAAATTTTTTGAAGTTTGGGTCTTCCATGGGCTTCATTAACCTCTGAGGGAATGGTGCGGGAGGTTCATAAGGATTTACCTCTTCAATATTCAATTTTCCACTTTTTGAGGTGCACAGGCAGAATGCTCATGCATAGGCAGATTGCGTGCAGTTTGCTTGTGCAAGTCAGATTTTTCAGCTTTTGTACTTTCTTCCTCTGCAGCTGCTTTGCCCTCCTTTTCTACTTGATTTTTTATTTCTCTTTGGATCCTCTCGTTATTAGCCTGTAATGTCCCAGGAATCCTGCCTTGCATATCCGCCAAAGTTTGAGCCATCTGTCCCATCTGCCTCTCCATAACTAGCATAGACGATTGTAAATTATTGTTGATGGCTAGCTGTTGAGTGACAAATTGATCCAGGCCCATGAAATTATTGTCTGTTTTCTGCATATGAGCCAAAATCAACTCCTCCAGCTGGGGCTTCTTCTCTGGTTGAGGCTGCTGCTGTTGAAAACCAGGAGGTGGGATGTTTCGAACACCAGTTGGATTATTGTTTTACCATGACATATTGGGGTGATGTCTCCATTGAGGGTTGTATGTATTTGAATACATACCACCCTGGCCTTGACTTCGCGGATTATTGATATACTGGACATCTTCCAACTGAGCAGCTCCCAGTGGACACATATCTCTATGATGAGCACCCTCGCAAAGTTCACATAAAGCAACCTCCTCTTGTCTACCAAGAGCAATCTTGGCCAATCTTCGTTCGAGTGCATCAAACTTAGAATCCAGTTTAGCATATATCTTGGCTTCTAGACTCTTAACTCTGTTTATCTCATGCAAGCCTCCTCTTCTTCGAATACTGGTCTCACTACCTCATTCAGTGGCTTCTGAACATATCTTCTCAACCAGATCATATGTTGCTGGTGCCTCCATGCTTGTGAAACCATTTCGAGAAGCATTATTCAGGGCATCCCGGAACTCCCTTCTGATTCCATTGAAGAAAATAATGATCACGTTCTAATCTTCTAGATCGTGGCTTGGGCATCTCATCAACAGCCCCTTGTAGCACTCTCATGCCTCGGTTAGAATCTCATCATCAGCCTGCTTAAAAGTAACAATCTCATCTTGCCTCTTCATTGCCAAGGCAGGTGGGAAGTAATTATCCAGAAAGACCTTCTCAAGTTGAGCCCATGTCGTGATGGAACGTGGTGTTAAGTTCTGGAACCAATGTGATGCATTCCCTAGCAGAGAGAACGAGAACATCCGTAGGCGAATTGCATCATCAGACACTGTAGGGCTCTTCATCGTATCACATATGCTTGCAAACCGGCGAAGATGCTCGTGAGGATCCTCACTGCTAGACCCAGAGAAAGTATACCCGTTGGTGATCATGTTGATAAATGCTGGGGTAATCTCCATTGTTGCATCCCCAGCCGGAATGACAACACATGAAGCTCGGGCTCCATTCCGTCGATTCAAACGAGCCCTGATCGAACGGTCCTCGTCTGCCATGATGGCAGGCTCAATGTCACGAGGTGGTGGTGTTGGTGGTGTAGGGACGACAGGTGGTCAAACCTGCCCTCTTTGTTGACGATTCTTGGTTAGGGAAGGCCTAGGAGTTGTGGTTGTGGTTGGCTGCTTCCCTAACTTGACCTGCTTCCTGTTCTGTCGGCAGGTCCTCTCTATCTCTAGATCAAGTGGCACTAAATTGACAGTCGTCCTCCTTGGCATGCACGAGGAGGATAAACCTGAAAATTCACCTGCACACTAGAACACAGATCAAAATAGTTCACTCACAAAAATCAACAAAAATAAGGTATGGCAGTCCCCGGCAACGGCGCCAAAAACTTGATAGGGCAAAAGCGTAATGCCAATTCCTATCTTGTAGTAAAACCGGAAATCCAGGTATCGTCTCTCAGGGACTGGTACAACTTATAATTTATCAATTCTGCGGAGCAAACTATCGGTGAAAAAATTGTTTGGTTGATGAGATTATTAACTAAAAGCAAAATAATTAAACTAATTAAGCAAAGTAAACTTGTCGGGAGAAATTCAATTTGAGAAGCTCTGGGAGAAACATCGGGATTCACTACTGTGCTAGCTATCCCTGTCGGGAATTACTACGTACTAAACAATTAAATCAAATCCTACTATCGTAGCTCAATGACTTAATTATTTAGCCTGAAGATCGATATCCTATTTAAGACCGCATATCACCTTATTTAATCCACTGTTGCTTCGATAAGTTACTATGTCACATGAAATATGTTCGGTTATTAGGGTTTCACTGTCGCTAATAACCTAATTAACAACGAATCAATGTATTGGTGGCCAGTCAACACAAAGCATTAAGTAATTTCATGCAATAGATATTGGAAGAAAAGTAATACGAATTAATCCATCAAGTCAAAAAATAGCTACATCCTATGGTGTTTCCCCCAGAAATTGGGATTTAGTTCATGACGAAAATAAAACACACAATCAGGTTTATAATCATCATCGTATTAATTAAAGCTAAAGGAAAAATACTGTGATTATGGAACGCAATCCTGGAACCAATTCCTTCTCGCTCCAATCGCCTGTCTGTTTCCTCCGCTCGATAGCTCTCGCTGCGTGGCTCTCTATTTCCGCGCTGCCGCTCGCTGCCTTTTCTCAGTTCCCAGCTTCCGTGTCCAAAGAATCATTCCTCCCTGGCCCTTTCTTTTTCCAAAAAGAATCCCCCCTCCAATTGTGTGTGTCCCCGCCGCCAGCTGCTTCTTTTTTTATATAATATTATTCCATCCCCCAGTTGCCTTCCTTTCCCCAGAGAATCCCCAAAATAATAAACCTCTCCAAAGAATTTCCTCCCCAGATCACAAAAACCTCCGGCCCATTAATTCCCTCCATCCAAACCTTCTTAATTCCACCCAGCTATGGAGAAAGGAAATAGAATGGGCTTCGGCTCAATGCATTCTGCCTCTTCCGGCCCATTTAGGCCCACTGCTCCTCTTAGCCGAGTGAGTATTTCACCAGTGATTCGAGCCCGATTAATTGCTTGTACATTCGCTTCTTTTTTCGTGCTTTCATTACCTGTAATACATCAAACTCATGGCACTAGGCAGTAATGGTTTTTCAACCAATCCCGGGTTAGCGAGCCCTAAAATAGCACCAATCGGCTTAAACATATCATGGGACAGTCACACAAAGTTCAAGAATCCGATATATTGAAGCTGATTATCACTAGATTGTGCTTGTTTTGATACATTTTAGGTCCTAGCACGTCTGGAAGGGTCGATGACGAGTTTTGGGATAATTGGAGGTCAAAAAGTGCAAAAAGCGAAGAAAAGTCAGAAGAAACAACCGTAGTTCACGGCCAGACGAGGCATTTCACGATCTCCTAAGACCGTGAACTTTGACCAAAAACCGTGAACGCTGAGGCGTCCAGCGAGGTTCCTGAAGTTACTGACAACAAGGCAGTTCATCGTCTCTAAGACCGTGAACTGTGGCCATTGACCGTGAACCGAGGACAGTCAAGCGGTGCGTTTTGGACAACGCTGAGTTCACAAACGCGTTTAGCTGTTCAAGGCCATGAACTGGCCAACACGTCCGTGAACTGGTACTTTCGGGCAAATATGAAGACAACAGCGGGGAGAGAAGGGAGAGCTGGTTTTTGGAGGAGAAACACTTTCTTTCTCTAGGGTTTCAACCTAAACACCAAAGGGGAGTTCTAGTGAGACAGAGAGAGAGTGCTAGAGTGATCTTGGAGCATTATTGGAGGCCTTGGTGGAAGATTCAAGCCTAGAAGAAGAAGAAGAAGATCTTGAGCTCAAATTTGTAATCCCTCTCTCTCTAGAAACTCACTCTTTTCTCTTGGGTGTTGTAGATCGCTAACTAAAACTTTGTAATTACTTGTTTAGATTGAATGATTGTCATTGGGTAGTGATTAATTTTAGGATTGAGGTATTATTCATGTCGATTGTGCATGCTCGTGCTTAGCAATCTAAGGGTTGTGCATGTTTTATGCTTAGCATCCTTAGGTTTGTGCATTGTGGTGCTTAGCAACCTAAGGATTGTGCATAATTGTGTTTAGCACCCTTAGGTTTGTGCATGTTTGTGCTAGCAATCTAATTAGCCACTTTAACCTAGGTTAATTTAGGGCAAACCTCAATATTGAAATAAGCAAATTG